CCGCGAGCAACAGCGCCAGCAGCAGGCCATGTTCGAGGCCGCCCGCGCCGCCCACGCCCACGCCCACGCTTACGACCCGGCCACCAGGGTCGTTCGCCACGTCGCCGCCGCCCGCAAGCCCGAGAGTGCCCGCGTCGCTCACCACCCGCAGGTCGCCACCTTCGACAAGATCTCGCAGCCGGTCGTGTATGCTGATGACCATGCTGGTTACGTCGCCCACGGCGAAGCCACCGCCATCGACGATGACTCGGCAGCGTATGAGAACTATTCGGACTCGGAACTGGACAGCAGCAGCTGCGAGGGCGACGGCTCCTTCTCGCCGTCGGATGCGCCCGACGGCTCCGACGAGGGTCGCCACCAGCAGGCCTGCGTGGACTGGTCGCGCCACCCGATCGCCCTCCCTGCACAGGATCACCTGGACCGCGGCGCCGGGTCCAACTACACGAGCATGAGCGATGTGCACGCATCCGGCGCGAGTGTGGCGCCTTCGACAGCTGCACGTGGAGCGATGGTGCCGATGCACAGCTCGACATCGATGGACGAGCGCGAGGGCCAGTCGGACGACTGCTCGAGCCGCAGCGGCAGCGGCGAGTCGCGCCGCAGCTCGGCTTCCTACACGGGCCTGCCGCCTACGCCGCAGTTTGTGCCTCACAGCGTCGAGGAGAACGTGCAGCGTGGCGCCGACTACTCGCCCACGCCAGCCAGCAAGTATGCGGCACCGGGTCAAGTGAGCGTCGTCGGCGGTGCCGATGAAAGCTTGCTGGTCGGCGGCAAGGCGTCTACGCGCGGTCTCCCCGCCCGCTGGCTGCAGAGCCGCTGGGACCAGGACGCGGCGTCGCTGGCCAAGGTGCAAGAGACCTCGGCCGTGCTTGGCAACTACGCAGGCGGCAGGCAGTATGCCAGTGTCCCCTCTCGTCGACAGCGCCCAGTGGGGCTGGGTCACCAGGGTGCGCATCCGCCCATGCCTGCACCCTACTAATTTCCGAACACCGTCCAAGCCGATGGGCCATCTCAAACTCATAGACAAGACGGCCCTCAGCGCCCTCTAGCTTTCGTTGCCCCTTCCCCTCCTTTGACTATTTGATTCACACTCTCCCTCATCCCTTGCCCCTTGACCGTCGAGTCGATGGAGACGTCTATATCCCGCCGACCTACATGGTCGCCTTTCTCCCCTCGTCATTCTTTGGCCAACTCGTCTCGCAGTCGTTTCGTGTCGCTTTCGTTCGCACATCTCCTCTCTGTATTTGTCTTTTTTTGTCTTTATCCGTGTATAGTATCGCACATGCCCGCACCTCGCACACTTGCAAATGGATTTGTCTTTCGCTTTCGATTTTGGATTGTACTTGGCTGGCTGTGAGGGGCTGAAGTGGTGGATAAAAATACCCATGGACCAGGTCAGAGACAGACACAAGAGGTATCCAAAATAGAAAGTCGTGGTCGCAGCCACAGACGGACCAGACGACAAGTCTTGGCACCACATCCAAAGGCGTTCCCTTGGCTCCGAGCTGCTGTCACTTTCTCCAATGGGTCGACCACGAACATTAGCTCGCCTTGGCATCTGCAGGCTTTGAAACCTGTTCTCCAGTCGGTGTCTTTGCAGCTTGTCCAAAGTGCGGGGGAGCAAAAAAGGGGGGAAGGGAGATCTGGGTGAGGTTGAAGGTCTTGATTGTATTTCTCAAAGATGGGAGGTACCGTCTCCGAGGGACGGGCAGGATAAAAAGTTGCAGCGGAGACCAGCGGACTTTTGTGCTTGTCCGCGGAAGGAGTCCTGTAGTATGGACATGGTTTTTGGTGGTAGAGACCCTTTGGCGAGGGAGAGAGAGGTTTGTTTGTTCGCTCGCGTGGGAAGTCGTCGGAACCACATGCAATTCCGAACCTCAAAGCTGCAGCGCGGTGTTCTAAATTTTCGCAAAAAACGGGAGCTTCGCATGCTGCAGCCTCACACCACCGAGCGGTGGTGGTCTAGAGCGGTGGTGGTCTAGACCACGTCGGATCCTTTGCATGGCCCTTCGTCCACAACGATGCAGGTAACAACTGGGCGGCAACGTATTCGTGCATCCCGAGAAGGACCGTATCGTGCAACCCGAACAGACGACACGCATGGCACAGGTGGCATATGTGGCAGTGAGGGTTGGGAGGAGGGGGGTTGCACAAATTCGAGGCGCAAATTTCCACTCTATGCTCCCGCGTCCCCACACACACGCTCACGCCTCAGGGTAAATTGGACGTCCCGACGGTGCGTCGGAAGTTGCACTTTCGCCGAGCAACGACCGTGGCCACGCTGTAACTTGGCACAGGTGTGTACGCCTCCCGTGCGAGGCGTTCCCATGCCGGCCTGCACTGTCCTGCCCCCCTCAAGGCCGAGTTCCGAATCGCAGCCACGCCAAGAGTGCATATGCTGGCAACCTCGTCACGCGGCGTGGGTGCGGAGAATAAGCCCATCTCGCCTCCCTGACTCTAGGAGTGGCGCGTGCGTGGTGTCCCGCAACCTTGTTGCTACAACGTGGCGCGCGCTGCGCACAACGCTCCTTGCAGTGTATAGCCTCTTCCATCGCCATGTCTATAGTGCGTGGCGTTCACCTGCAAGCGAGAGCTTCGCCACTCGCACGGCATCTCATCTCAGCAGCGAAAAGCGCATCGCAATGGCGTATTCGGCCTCCGCCATCATGCGTCCCACCGAGGGTGGCCAACCCCTTGCAGCGTGGCTTCTATCGCCTAACGTCTTCCCACGCGCCCATACGCCTTGTCGACCTCCCGGGCAGCCCCACAGCATCGCATTGACGCCGCCTGGGATTCATGCGCGACTGCGGGCGTCCCGATTCCGATCGAATCACTCACGCCACATGGATCACCGCGATCGCATCTCAAAACCCCCTTGCTTCCCAACACGCCGCGACGAGCACCGAATCGGAACGGATATGTTGTCGAACTGGGTACGAGCAATGCATGACTAGAGCACCCATGCTTGTACTCCAGGCATTACGAGAGATCATTCCACGGATCGTCGTCTTCGAAATCGGGCGCTGCAGGCGTGGCGTCGAGCCGGGGTGCAGCTTCCTCGGGCGCCGGTGCCGGCTCTGCTTCTGTGGTCGCCTTGGTGTTCGCATCTGACAGCTCCGAGGCCATGCGATCGTCAGACGTCCCGGTGTCTGCTTGAGACCCATGTGCTATGTCGGCCTCTCGCGTGCTGGGTATCGCCGCATCTTGTCGTCTCCGTTCTTCGCTCGACTCGGGCTGCTGTCCGACCGCCGAGGCGAGCGCAGCATGCCAGGCATCCGCCTGGGTCTGCAGAGTTGCCACTTTAGAATGCAGTAGATCGGCTCTCGTTGCGTCTTGACTCTGCGGATGCGCAGCAGTGGGGCGACTCGATCCCGACTGTGTGCGTTCCGACGGCAACACCAGTCCCACCTGGGCTGCCGATGCGCGCTCGGTGTTCAGCCGACTTGCATGTGCGAACCCGGCAACAAGCGCGTGTGACAGTGCCACGTACGCCTTGCGTCGATCCTGCGGCGTCGAGGCATCGAGAGATCCTCGTTCGAACGAGGACAGAAGATCTTCGCCTGTGTGCGTTCTGGTGGTGGTGGGTGCAGAAGACCGCGCGAGAGTGAACAGCACATCGTCCGAAGACAGCATGTCCAGATCAGACAGGATATCGTCCAGCCTAAGCGTACGCAGCTCCGCCGCCGCGGAGGGCGCTGATGTCGCAGCCATTGGTGTAAGATGTGCACACGGGTGATGGTGTTCTGAAACAACACCAACTCCACTCCGCCAAATCCTCAACCCTACACGCCAACCTCGGATCTCGGAAATCCTTGCCTCCACGTCCCCAACCCCCACACCACAGCCCGAAACCACCTTGGAGCTCCACCGCGACCTCAACCTAAGCTCATCTACACGCCGCAAGTCAGACACAACGAGTCAAACGGAGGACGAAAGAGAATGCTGCATAGACATTGAGATAAGGTACAGATGCGGATGGAGATGCACGTAGACAGCGTTGTCATCAGAGTGGGCGAAAACAAAGCCCCACGACTCAAGGCGGGTATCATGACCGGTCAGCCATGGCGGCATCACGACCATACAGGGCAGCGACAGCCGAGTGGGGCGCATCAGATCTTGAGTTCGCGGAATCCGCACACCTCGGCGGGCGAAGGGCGCGGGCTCGAACTCGCCGTCTCGTCGCCAGTCAGGCGTGCGCGCGCACGGCCGACCTTCTCGAGCTGACGCTCGCGCTTGCGAGCCTGCGCCGCATCGCGCTTCTCGCGCGCCGTAGGCACACGCCGCTTGACCGCAATGCTCGACTTGTTCGGCAGGCCGTCCTTGCGCGGACGCCCGCGGCCGCGCTTGATGATCTCGTACACGGTTTCGCCTTCCTGCGCCTCGTCCTCGGCCGTCGTGGTTGTGGCTGTCGCTTCCGCCGCCGACCCATTGCCCTCTTCGTCCGGCTGCGAGTCCGGAAGGGCATTGAAGTCGGGCGATCGGCTTTGCGAGCGGCGCTTCGGACTGCGAATCATGCTCATCGTCATCGCATCCGACGACGCAGCGCGCTTGCTGCTTAGCCTCTCGACGCCCGGCGTGCTGCCCCGCGACCCGCTCGACGCCTCCGGAGACGCACACGCCGTCGTGTCGCCCCCATCGTCCGTGGTGGCCGTGGTCGAAGGTGAGTCGCCTTCACCACTGCTGTGCGTCGCCGACGTGTCCACCGACGAAGGCGATGTGGCACGCCACCGTCGCATGTGGTCCGGAAGCGGGGTTGGAGCCGCCAATGTGGATCGTTCCGCCGCATTCGCCGATGCCTCGCCCGGGGATGACACCGCCTGCAGCTCTGCTCCGACTTCCTCCTCGTCAATGATGGTGTCCTTCTCCACGAGCAGTTCCACCACGTGCGCCCAATCGTTCAGATTCTCGCGCAGCAGCCGACGCACCTCTTGCAGGTCGTGGTCTCCGCTGATGCTCTGCAGCACCATCTTTTCCTCGGTGGTCGGCTCCGCGTCGTCCTTGACTGTGCTTCTGCTGTCCGCGTCCGACGCCGCCGCAGCTGCCGCGATCTGCTCTTTGATGCGCGGTAGACCGGAATGCGGGCCGTCGAGGTTTCGGATCGAGCTGTAGTGCTCCCAATTGTGATACGCAATGTAAAGTGGGCCGTACGCCTCCGGCGGTTGTTGGAGCGTCGAGGTGCTCGCATCTTGTGATGACGTAGATGTGGATGCGGTCGCCTGGCTCGATGTCGCATCTTCTGCTTCCGTCGTTGTCCCTGTCTGAGCGGCATTGGGCGAAGGAGTGGAGGCGGACGGATCTGCGCCATCGACTCTGGACACCTTTTCGCGCTTGGTCTCCTCGCGCTTCTGCCGACGCCGTTGACGCTCGGTGAGCGGACCAGCGTCCGTGCCTGCTTCGATGGAGTTTTGCACCCGAAGTCGCTCCTGCTCCTTGGCTTCACGTGCGCGTAGCGCCTCGGGCGAATCGTCGACGCCCTCGACCACGTATACCAGTCCCGGCTGCACGATCTTGATCTGCTTCTGCTTCATCTGCGCAAAGGCGTGCAGTTCGAGGTGACCGCCGTAGGTTCCGTTCTCTCGCATGAGGCGGACGTACTCTTCGAAGGGCTTATCGTCCACAAAACCGGCAAACTTGTCTGGCCGCTCGGCGAGGTGATCGCACGTCTCTTGCCGCAACTCGGCGTGTCGACCTGGGTAGCCGTAGAGCTGGTCGGAGAGTGCCCTGAAGAGGCAGTTGCCGTCGCCTGTCGTATTGGCGGCATACAGCCCCATGCGCTTGAGCTGCGAGTTGAGATCGCGCTCCACCTGCTCGGGATCGTCTAGGGCATAGCTGTTTTTGGCCCGGCTGCTGCGAGTGATGCGCTCGTTCTTGAGCGTGGCCGCCGCACGATTGCTGCGCCGGCTAGGTCCCGCCGCTGCGGCGCGCTGAGGCCTCCCCATGATGACAGTGTGGAGAGTGTGCCAGATCGATGCAGAGGTAGACCTGGCTGTTGGTCGCTAAGGGGGCTGCACGTCGTCGTCTACGTGCGCATGGAGGATGGCGATATGGGCGGAGTTGCTCCTAGGTTTGGATGCTGAGTGCAAGGGTGAATGCTGGACAAGGCACTTGGCGAGGATGCAAGTTTGGCGAGGTCGAGCTGGAGCGGTAGCCGCAAGTTGAATGCTGTAATGCTTACGGAGGCGAGCCGATGATGGTACTGAATGACGATCCGAACGCGACACTCTATGTCAACGATGTATACGTCCACGTCCAATGCAACAGAAACCGACGGTGACAGACCCGAAAAGCCACCGATGTTGCGAAGCGCGAGGCGGATCGATGGAGGGACGACGTCGCGTGACGTGGTTGCGGTGCGAGACGAGGCGCGTAGATGTGTCGGTGCTGGTCACCGCAGGAGGCGAGATGAACGGGTGTAGGGTTGCTCGACTTGCCCAGAGTTGCTGCTTGTTCGAGTGGGTGCAGCGCAGGCGACGATGAAAGGGGCGCTGGGGCGTCTCGACGACGGCGACGAGGGATTGCTAGGGTGCGAATGGGAGGGTCTGCCTGCGTCTTGCTCCAACGCCAAACGCAGGTTGCGCAGGTCAGCCGGAGGTGGCCAAAATTCGACGGCGCATCTGTCAGACGTGTCGTGCGCGATCCAGCAAGGCACAAACGCCGCCCTCTGACTCCTCACACGCCGTGGCCCCCCCACCGCAAAGCAACGCGCAGCAGCAAAGGCAAGGCAGGGCAAGGCAGCCTCTTCAGTTCAATTTCGCTTTTTTTTTTTTTTTTTTTT